ATTTTAAAGAACTTCATGACTGAACTTCAGAGAACTTCAATATTTGCATTAAATCTGTTCAGCTGTTAATTAAGGTTTTTTCATTAGGTCCCAACGGCATCTTAAAATAAAGACATGAAAGGGAAAAGCTCAGCAGCCTCTGTGCTGGCTTTCCCACAGTAGATATAGTATAATCAGGTTAACTTGATATCAGACAATAAAATCTCAAGAATATAAAACAAGTTCTGCAAAAGCACTGGGCTGAAATTTTCCCATGAAAGTGTGCTAATTAAGGTTGGTTGAGTTTTGTGCTGCTGCAGTTGTTGAAGTTCTGAATTACTTCTTTTTACACAGTCTGTAATCATTGCTAATATAGTACTGGAGGATGCACCTAAACTAGATGCATCCATGGGATATATGAAGCACCACCAAAAATTGCTACAATGTAAGGGTCCAAATACAGGAGAAAAAAGCACACTTTCATGTCAAATTTTGCTTATATATTAAAGTTATATAATTACAAGATAAATAATTAAACTGATACATCTTTAAAAAATGCTGATTTGTATCCTGTGTCATAAAAATTTGTTTACACTATTCATATTTCAAGGAAAGAGAAAAATAATTCAAGAGAGTCAACTGATAGCTAACTTATCTTACGATTCAAACTGAAACAATAATTAATTTGAATTTTATCCTACTGTCATACTGATGTAAATTAAAAGCAAATAAATTAGAATCTGTTTCAAAATAAGACTGAATACAAATACGAGCCTGGTTTCTAAATATAACTTTTAAAATTTATACACACACACATAAAAATATCTGCATATACCTACAAACACACACACACATTTAAAAGGCAACTGAAAGGTACATCTATCTACACTCTAATTCAAAAGACATGGAAACCTTTATTTTTAAAGGAGAGAAAACATGATTTTCATGTCTACATATATTCAGCTCTGAATATATTTGAGACCATCTAAGTTACTCCATGTAGGACACTCATTTTTTAGAATGATTTAAAACTCTACAGGCGTGCCAGAAAAAAAAGAAACAATTGAATGTCTCTTCTAAAATAATTTTAAAACATTTGTTTTCAATTTCCCTGTACCTTTGTTTGTTTGTTTGTTTACTTTGGTAATCTGACTTACTAAGTTTGGGTGGAATTTACAGAAAAGTCGATGTATATAATATTGTAAACTATTAATAGTTTTATACCATAGATGTTTGTTTTTAATTTGTATTCTTACCACTGAAAAAGTAAAAATGAGAATTAGATGTATATTTTTATTTCAAAGGTTCAATAAACCATTTCTGAAGAATGAGAAAAGCTGTTTCTGTTAAATTTACATGAGCTGTAAAAAATGAAATATAACTACATCTATGTGCACATCATGAAATAACTAACAACATTGTCTATGTTTCAATAATTTAGTAACAATCCCCAGATCACTTAATCGTCTCTGTAAAAGAGCCATGTAGGAGTAGTGAAGATGATGAGTTCCTTCTTTCTAGGATGTGAATTGGATTTTAAAGAGTCACATTGTTTATCTTTGTCAGTTTAAAATTAGTCTTCCATGACATTTATAGTTCTATACATCTTCTATACAGGTATATAATATAAATCAGAAGAAAAAGATGACTTATTAGAAGATTAGCTTGAATTTCTCAAAGTAATCATACCTAAAATTTACTTGTAGTTTCATACTGATCATGTCGCAAATCTCTGTTATTAATATGAGGCTGAGGGACTACCAAATGCTCTAAGGTTGATTGAGAAAACCAGTAAACACATCAGCTCAACCTGTATATAACTTACCTGTGCTTCCTGAGGGACCTGTGCTGCATCAACTCTGTCTGTAATGTAGGCTGTTAGCTGTTTGTCAATAACAGCAAGAGACTCCTGGATTAAGCGGAGGGTTTTGTCAGTCTCCTGGGCAGATTGAATACTCTGTTCAAGACTCTTTTGTCTTCTCATGGCCTAAAAACAATTACAATGTTATCAATATTCTTAGTAATAATGCACGTAATACATCTTTTCCCACAATTTTTTTTTTTCAAAAACTGCAAGCTAAGAAGCAAAAATAGTACTTCTGACTTGTGCTCATCCACCTTTTTGTATGATAAGTTGCGTATCTTTTTGCCACCCATTCAGTTCTTTTTAGTAAGAAACAAACAACCCCCCAGATTGCATAGACAAGTTCTAAAAAATACAGGACCCTGAAAAAACAATGCATGTATTGAGGTTTTCTATACAGAGTAAAAGCTGGCAAAGCTGCATAATAAAACCATCCTGATAGTGTAGCCTTTCATTCTGTGGCATAGCAGTCCTCCTGATCTTATTATATATTTCAAGAGGTTTTCTTTACTGAGAACAGGGTTACTGTCATCACAATCCCATCCAAGACAATCCACTTCACTAAGTGAGAGGGATAAAGACTCTCTTGAGAAGGAGTTCTCTTATATGGAGTATAAATAGCTGTCTGGAACAGAGGCAATGCCTACTCTGGAAAATAAGAGACATATCCTTGTCTTTACTTGTCTGTGGACTTGCTCAATCTATTATCACTCTAAGAATAGGCTCCTTTAGCCTAGGAAGTTGACTCTTGCTTCTACTTTACCACCAGTGCCACAGTGCCTACCACCACCTTTGACACAATGTTTTTTTTTGAGAAGGATGCTTTCCTTTCAAAGGAGCTCACTTTATTGTTTACCAAATCAGAACAATAAATTCTCCTTCCAAGTTGTCCTTAAACACATGCATATTTAAGCACCTAACATAAATGGCTTATGGTATTTGTAACAGTTTAATATGTTTCTTACATGTGTCTTTGTGTTCACCTGCAGATTCATGTTTTACTCAAGATGCAGCTTCTGCCTAACGGAGATTCTGCTTTATACAAAGCACATAATAATTACCAACAATTTCAAATGCAATACACTTTTCTTCCATGTGAGTCCAGCCATACTGCTGACCAGAGAGTAAAGTGACTAACTTTCTTTGACATGAATCAAAGGAAGAGGCAGAAAGCAAGCATTCTTTAAATAATGTTGCTAGGTGCCCTGATATTTTCCAAGTCAAATCACACTTTTTCTCTTTGGTGAGCCTGCTACAGTTTAATTTGATTTCATACCTATTATGAAACTTTTGCCTTGGACAAAAATACCTCTCAGCAATTCACTGAGAATATTCGATATACCTGTACCTTCTTCATGGAGCTCAGATTCTTATAGAGTTTTACATTTAGCAAATGAAAAACATTATTCCATGTGAGCGTTCTTGCTAGCTGTTTGACTTAGATAAAGGACAGGGATCCAACTAGTATTTATTATATTTGTGTTTGTAAGCTGCTTTGTGCTATTTCAAAACAGCTGATCAGATAATCTTGTATTGCTGCCAGTTCCAGGAACCTTCTGTGGAACTGAGCAGCTTTACATATCAGACCCACGCTGTCAGTGTTAATGGAAGGACCTGAGCCATTAAGGTATTATTACCCTAACGAATGAACCATTAAAACTCTAACTTCACAGCACAGTATAAGGCTTTCTACTTAAATGACTTTTACCTTCATCTGATTTGAGATTTTATATTACAATGTTCTCAGCCTGTTCAAAGCAACAGGGTTAAAAACCACAGCTTTCCATTTACCTTGGCACTCCTTATTATTAATTTGTAAGCCTGGCTAAAATACGGTCACTCTCTACCTTTTCATTTGTGTCATTGTAGGCTGAAAGACACATTAGATCAGAAACAGGGTAAGTAGCTTTTTAAAGCCCAGGGGTAAGGGCATCCTTAAGGAAGCATGGAAGAAAACCTCTCTATCTTTACCGATCTCTTTGGATAACTCGTAGGGCTAACCTACATGCATAGTCCATTCATACTGAAGGCTGCAGTGTCCTGATGTTCAAAAAAGCTCACCATTTAAAAGAAGACGCTGAGAAAGTTCCATTCTTGGTCATTAAAATAATTGTTTGCACTTTCTGAAGAATTCAATATATGGGACACAAATGTGGTGCTAAGTGCTTCTGAAACTCTACTTTTATAGCAGTACTTGAAATATCTAACCTCTGTTAAATGCTGACCCATGCTAACTACTACTTGCAGCTAGGTACTTGCTTAAGTATAGATAATTTGCCACCAGATAAATTTGCAGCCTGCATGCATGCAAAGAAGTAGTTATCACCGTGTGGAAACTCACAAAAAGTCTGAATATTGTATGACAAATACGCGGTGATTGAAAAAATTGTCATCTCTGTGCTGATATCAGCAGAGACTATGTATATCAAAATCCTTATTTAGAATATAACTGGAAAAACTAAGACATTACCAAAGTCATTGATCAAATATTAAAGCAAATAAAGTTAAGAAAGAATTCCAGCAAATTCTTGCCTGAGTCTGAATTTTTATGGCTGGACATCATACAAATATGGTCATATAAATACATATGCATGCTTGTGATATCTTTATGTGCACACAAAGTAAGTATGTCCACACAAACACAAAACATTCCACTTTCACTGTCCTCAGAGAGAATTTGATTACAGCCTGAGAACCTGTGTGACATTTGCTGTCTTCCAAGTGAAGTGAGAGTACATCTTTTCCAAAAAATGTGAACAGTTTAGATGAATGAATGGATGATATCAGATGAAGATGAGAATGCAGTGGTACAAAAGAGGAATTATTTTAGCAGTGGGAACAGAATCACATAGCCAAATGCTAGGAAATGGCACATTCACATTTGTGATGATTTTCTTAGATATAAACAGGTGCGCTGCTTTAATTTTTTTGTCTCTATTGGTTACTGGGTACAGACTATCCTACATGCTCACCTAAAGTGAGATCAGTCCCCTGACCCTGTTCAATTTACACAACAAATGTAACAAAAAAGTCTTCACAATAATCTTATAAAAGGTACAATACACTCATGTAATAAGATATCTCTTCAGTACACAACAGCTGACTCAGAAACCTAATCCTGTTCACTAAGTAGGTCCCTGACACTACCACTGGCACTGCAGAATACTTATCAATTCAATCAAGGGGAATGCCACAATATGGAGGAGGCTTTTTCCTCTTTTTCAGTAGAAAGAGAGTTACTGATGGAGGTAAGAATTAGAGTGCTTTACAAAAGGGGGCAGACATACTACACATTTACATCTGTGAATTTGAGTTTCAAATTTATCCTTAAAATTCATATGTCTGTGAGTGTGAAAATAAATATACATATGTTTTTAAAAGATGTGAAATTTGAAATGATATACATCTGTAATATAAAAGTATTTTAATATACGATGTTCTGGTTTGTGGGGGGTTGTTTTGGTTTTTGTTTAGTTTTTCCCTGAAAGATTACATTTTTTCTATTCCTATGTGGAAGAAATAGATGGCTTAACAACACAGTGTATAAATGGGTCTGAGAACATAACAGGAAGCTCTAGCTCTGTTATGAGATCATAGTCAATAAAACTAAAGGCTTTGGTCTCTAAAGAGAAGTGTCTGACAGTTAATTGTTAAATAAGAAATCTCAGGAAAACGACTGTTTAATTATTTCTGAGCCAGTGAAATGTTGACAGCTGTCAAGGAAAATAAAAAAAAAAAAAAAACAACAAACCCTGCTGTTAGGCACTATCAGAATGAAAGAGAAAAGAAAAAATGTTAATGGACTGAGTTTTTTATTACAGTTTCTACAGTTTTTTTATAGATTTTATTTATTTTTTATGATCAAGTATAACATTTAGTTTTTATGATATGTGGTGTTGCATAAATCTGTTTACAATTTTAAAAAGATCAATGGTAAAGGCAGGAAATGGTAACAATGCATATTATCCACATAATATGCCATATTAAGGGAAAGGCTGCACTGAGAGGTGATCAAATATTAGGCAAGCTGGAGGTGTTCAAACAGTTGCTCAGGACTATAGATCATTCTTTGATGCTGAATGTTATAAAGCTATATTTATAGACATTGCCACTTTTGCCTTAAATAATACATTTCATGTCTTTAATGACATTAGTCACATACGAAGTTACTAAGATGCTGGTTCGAGTTTTATGGTTAAAATTAAGTAGAGATTTGTTGTTGAGGCAGTAACTCAGTAGTTGTGTTGTGGGAGAAAAATAGAACAAAACCTTTCAAAATTTATGGTACTTTTACTACAGGGTATATTTATTTAAAATACAGAAACAAATTCATTAATTAGCTTACAAGTCACAGCTCATAGATAGGGGTCTGTTAAGAAAGGCAGAAATATGTTAACCCTTTTTTTTTGGCTCAGTTATGCTCTCTAATTATTGAGAAATGTTACTGTAGTGTAAACTTAAAAAGTTAAAAGTTAAGAAGGAATTTGTTTAAATTACTTCAAAATTTAACCTAATTCTTGGTGTTATAATGGTTGTGTCTGAGATACATTATATTTCTGTATGTTTTGCATCAAATTGTTAACGTGCTAATCTGCTTTTTGTTTGGAAACACTGGATTAGTGTTTAGACTTAAATTAGAAACACCTTTTCTAACATTCAAAGCATTCATTTTTGGTCCAGGAATTTTTAATACCCTCCAAACTAGAAATTATTCTTCTGCAAATTTTAGTAATATTTTACAGTGTGTTTTTAAAGTAAGTGTCTACAAATGTTTAAAATTTCAGCCATAAATTGATATTGATCTTTGATCAACTGTATTCCAAAACTGCAAACTAAACCAAGGAGGATCTCTTTAGGTTATCACTGCAGACAGATAGTGCCTCGGAACTTGTAAAAATAGCCCTCTGAGCAGTCTTCAAAGAAATCACATGGAGGTGGGGCATGAAGAATTTTTTCTCCTCTTGAGGTTAGAACAAAACAGAAAAATTGTGACAAATGATGAATGTGTGCTCTTTGAAAGAAACAAAGGGTAATACTGAGGGGAGTCCTAAAAGAAATTAAGAGTCAGTGCCCAAGAATAAAAATTGAATCTAGTGTAAAGCCCATCTGAGCAATAATGTTTTGTACAGTTTTTGCAAGCATAGTCTCAAGAATATCTTGATGATGTTTTTGAAGTTTGCTGGACAGGATGTAAATCACTTTCAGCATTATAGGGGATGATATCCATTTGCAATATTAGCTTTAAGTTCTTCAGGCAACAATGTTTCTTAGATCCAATATCTAGAGTTGTAAGTGAATCAGTCCTTGAAAAATAAAGATAGGTTATATGTTGCTTATCGATCAGCCCCAGATGTTCAAAAGCAAACTAAACACACTCAGTCTTTGTTAACTAAAGAAGATAAAGCATACACACATAAAGCCACTATCTGCCTTTAAAAATGAATCTCTATCTCCATAGCAATGCTGTATTGTCTTGCAGCATCATTCATATGGCAGTGGTTTGGTTGGGTTGCTCTAGTAGTAGTGAATAAATATTTCACATATCACTTTCTGCCCACATGAGCTTACTGTCTATGTAATTACCTGCACAATTATTCAAATAAAAATAAATACTTAACCACATTAGGATAGCCAATTAGTCTGTCTGAAATAGAAGTGACCTTGAACACAAACTAAATAATGTTATGCGCCTGCAATGTATTTTTACACAAGGATAGTGGCATGCTGTTTGGTTTTCAACAGGGTTACACAAACAGTACAGAAAATTCATTGTCAGGAATCAAGGAAAAAAAGTGTGTGAGACTTAAGTGGAAAAATTAATAAAACATTTTATTGTAGAAAACACAGCAAAGAAGTGGTGTGACTGAGTCACTTGTGATTGAAATAGTTTCTTTACAGCTCTTATATTCATATACAGATTTCACCGGTCGTATTTGACTACTAAATATTAGATTGAGCTTTCAAAGGGGCTCCGGGGTGGGGGGGGCTTCCTGCCCCCAGCTTTTTGTCTAAATTTAAATTAAATTGGAAAACAGTGAACACATTTCTAATATATTTTGCTTGTATACTCATCCAAATTGTTTCCAGAATATCAGACATCTTCATGTTGTACTTTCCACGTTTAACCCCTCCAGCTGGTATGAACTTTGATTTAATGCCTATTATTGTGTAAACTGAGTAATATTCATCCATCACTCAGCAAGACTATTTGAAAGTACTGTTTTCACACACCAGAAGCCCTCTGTATATTCCCATTTTTCTCCTCCAAGTCAGGAAAAAAACAACAGATACCAAGAAGAGAATTCCAGGGAATGTATCTGCTTTCAAACAGAAGTTAGATTTAAAAGAAAAAAAAGAGCAGAAACTTATGCTTAGTTTTCCATTATTACACTGTCCAGCAATATGGGACTATGTGAATGCTTGCACTGCACTAGAACTACCACCAGGTGATGAGTAGAGGGAACCAGGTTCTTTCCCCCCCCATCCTTCAAGTTTAAGCTCAGAACAGCTGAGGACCCTTCCATAATTTTTACTGTAGTGTTATTACTTCCATTGTTTTCAAGAACATGTACACTTCAAGCACCATGAAAGAAACAATAATGTTATAATTGTCATGGTAGATTATTATCATTCTAACACAGCTGTTTTCCAAAAATCTTTACTTGTGTATCATTTGTATCATTGAAATTGAGTAACTTTTGACCATCTTTGTAGCTCATCTTTGAACATGTTCTGGTTCCAATCATAAAGAGGGTCTCCATGTTCTTCGCTAGGTCTTTCCCTAATAATTCCTTTCTGAACTTTACCAATTACTGAGTTGACATCTTCCTGATACTTCTATTCATAACAGTAAGTCTGCTCAAAAATTACAATTTCATATATGAAGTCAGAAATCCTTCATGAGTACCACTTTTCATGTATTTGCACTGAATATTTCTGTAATTTAACTGCCTTGTCACTGCGTCCTGTAAGATTATTCTGCAAATAAGAGTTTTTCCCCATCTTTGTTACTAGTAAGCTACTAGTAGTTGAGCTATTTCCTTATGTATCCTTTGGTTGTCTTAAAATTCTTTGGTGAATTCTGTTTGGTCCTGCCATTATACACAGACACACACATTTATATTAGAACGTACAAATTTTGAATAAACTAGCAGTAAAAGTAAATATTCATGCACAAGTATTACAGTTTTTAATTGATTTACCAGCAGAAAGGTGTACTGTCCCACTAGTGAGATCTGTCAAAGAGTTAGTAAAAATCTGTGGCAAAGATTGCTGATCTAGCATATTCCTAGTTTTGACTCTCCTTGTGCTAAACATGTTTCTATATTGAAGTGTCTTTACAAAACCTTTAATTGATACAAAGACTTTTATTTATTGTTTAGTAAAGAATATATCTGTAAGAGAATGCTACTCCTATATAATTTTGAAAATAATATGCTTCTCAATAAGAGTTTTGCAATCTCTAAATATGCAACTGAAGATTAAATCCACAAGATAGTGACTTCAATTTTGGAATTTTAGGGTTACCTATTATACTGGCTTTGTCCAGGATGGAGCTAATTTTGTTCACATATGGTGCTGTGTTTTAGGTTGGTGACCAAAATGGTGCTGGGAACACAGGGATGTTTTAGCTATTGCTGAGCAGTGACTGCACAGTGCCAAGGCCTTCTCTTGCTCACTCTGCCCCTCACAGTGAGGAGGCTGAGGGTGGGCAAGGGGCTGGAAGGGACACAGCCAGGACAGCAGAACCCAAATGACCAAAGAGAGATCCTACACCACACAGAGACATGCTCAGCAATAAAAGCAGGCTGGGGGGCAGTTTTTAAAAAATTGCCATTACTCAGGAGCTGGCTAAGAATTAGTCTCCTCGTGGTAATTAATTTTGCATCACTTGATTTTTCCCTTTTTTTCTTTGACTTATTAAATTGTCTTTATCTCAATCCATGAGTTTTCTCACTTTTGCCTTTGTAATTCTCTGCCCACATTGAACCAGGAGACGTGAGGAGTGAGCAAGAAGCTATGCGGTGCTTTTCTACCTGCTGGAGTTAGGCTACCACACCTATGCAAACCATTCACTTCTAAACTAAATCTTTATTTCTGATATAAACATATAACTGTTTAGGAACTATACCAACAAAATAACTTTTTTTTTTTTTTTTTTTTTTTTTTTTTTTTTTCCCTGTGATGCTGGACTCTCAGCTGTTTAATGAGAGGACAGGTCAATTATTATATATACCTCCTGCTGAAGTTCCTCCCATCGACTATTGAACTTCTCAAGTTTCTCGTTGATTAATTCATCCAGGATTCCACCATCAGTTAAAGTCTGAGCCAATTCCCGAATCTGGTTGCGATTATCTTCTGGATGTCTCATTAAACGTTCCAAAGACTGAAACAAGGTCAAAAAAGTAGTTTGTTTATCTTTCTGCATATAAGATTCTACAGAACAATCACAGCTCACCTTAAAAATGTAAGTAAGAAAATTCACATTTCATACAAAATAATAGTATAGAGAAAAGATAAAAATATCCATGTCCCATGTCTAGACAACAAATGTTCTTTACTACTTATTACTGGAAACAAAGAAAGATTTTTCACAAAACAATAAATTGGGCACTTGATTTTAAAATTGTGGACTATGCCACTGAATTCAGTGAGAGTATTTTTTCACTTAAAATTAATAAATTTTCTTGAGTATCTGAATGGATGAAGTTCAACAGTTAAAATGCATTATCAATGTAACAATGTAACATTTTGCATTTTGACCCACTAAGAGTATTAACTTAATTTCTACAAATTTGAAAGTTTCCATGAATAAAAGTTAAGTATTATTAAACAAAGTTGCAGTGCTAGGATGACAGCTTGCACTCTCTAAAATCTTCAGCATTGTTTTGACTGCTTAAGTGAAGCCATGTTTTTTAAGAACATGAATTTTAAGAATTTTATTGTCACCAAAAACTGTCTATGAAATCGGGCATAACACATTTAATTACACCGCTTCACTTCAATTGATTTGAATTCAAAAATTCATTTCTTGAATCAAGTGAGAACATAGGACTTTACGGATATTCTGTATCTTGTTCCTGGGTAATGTTGATTCATAGTTTGTTTTGAATGTAACGTGATTTACGATTTATCAATACATGCGATTTTATATTATCTAAGTCATCACTTACATCTAGAGACTCAGAAATCTCCTCTGCACCTCCCTGGATATTTTCAGTTGCCTTGAGTTTCAGTTCAATCTCATTCAACCATTTATTTTCTGCATCCAAATAGGACAGCAATTCATGCCAACATGCCCATACCTCCTGATGGAGAAAAAAAAATGTTTAGTGATATTGAAAATCTCACAGCTAACTTTCGCTTATTCAAACATTGGAAACATTGCATGCTTCATGGCCAAAACAACATGGTTGATATCTGTTATGGTGCCATATAGTTGATTTTTTTTTTCCCAGTATTTATATTTTCCAAATAAATATAATACACAGTCAAAACATTTTGATTAAACAGAGTAAAACCACAGAAGATAACATGAAATCATAAACACTTCTGAAAAACACAACTTGAATATTCTGTCTCATGAATTATCCATTTTATATGCCTTTCTCTAAAATTTTCTTGTGATATATAAATAACTAAATTATCAGAAATGTAAAGACTCATATTAGAAGTTTATGTCTTTTTTACAAGATGTAGTTATGTTGTTTATACATTCTGTATACTAATTACTTAAAGCACAGGTTCATAAAATGTATAGACATAGCTTCCAAGAATTCTGACTAAAGACTCTTCAGAAATTAATTCTAAACCACATTTAGTGCAATTTATAGACCACTTAAGTGCTAGAGTATTAAATGTAATGTTGTAAAATGAAATTATGTTATGAAGTTATGTTTTCCTGGAATTAAATTATTGTCTAATATTTCATTTTTACAGTGCCTGAAGATACTTAAATAAGCAGATAAAAATGGCACTTTGTATACAAGCAAAACATTTAAACTCTCCATAAATCATCTTTTCATGGCTCCTTTTTTTGTTAGCAGAGATTAAAATAACTTTATTGAGATGCATTAGGCTGTTTCTAGATCACGTTTCCCAGAGTACAATTCATCTCACATAACTTTGGTGATATCAAATGTGTCTGGACTAGGAGGAGGTTATAGAGAGATATTACTGCACAACAACAACATCAGTGATCAGGGGAAATATAGAGTACCAGTTTAGACTACACACCTAATTTTCTACGGTGAAATTTAGAGGAGATAAATTTTACCCAGGTATACAATTTTTCTACATGAAGTTAGCTATTGCAAATTAGTTCACAACAAAAAATCATACCTAATTGACTGTGACCACAGTTTAATATGTAAATAGTCCTATGGCAAGAACCTGTAATGGAGTTGGCCAAAATGGCAGAGTTGAGTCAAAATGCATGAGACATATTTGGCTTGTCAGCAGATCAGATGCTGTTTCCACGTTGAGACAACACTACCTGACCAGCTTCAGGGCCATTTAATCAAAATCCTTAGCCATGGAAGAAAGAAGCCCAGAGGAGCTGGTGAAGACAACGTCACAGGGTTGCTACAGAAGCTAGATGTTTGGCTTAATCTCAGGAGGGATAAGAATCATGAGCAGCTGTTGCTGTCTCCCACATAAGAGCCATGTCTGATGCTTCTCTTTTCCTATGACCCTCCAGTATATATGATTTTCAAAAAAATTTAGGTATATGGCTCATATCATGGTATTTGGTATATGGCTCATAAAGTGAGGACAGACTTGGGATACTCATTATCCCATATGATAATGCATCTTTACTCTCTACCTTACTTTTCCAGTACGAAGTCTATAAATACAGTGAGTGACAATATATCCAACCTCCAAAGTTTTGCACTTTCCATTCAGTCTGCTGCAGAGTCGCTGGTAGCTGGTAATTAGAATATCAAGCTCCTTTTTCAAAGCCTCATGAGCTGCAGGTGGAGCCTTTGCTATAAAATTATTCACAGAATCAGTAATAAGCTTCACTTTCACTTCTTTCTGCATGGCTTCCTCCTTTGCTCTCTGCAAAAAAATAAAGGATTCTGTCAGAGGGAAAAAAGCCGCAAACAACGAAGAGCCAGTTAATTCCCAGACTTTCTGACATAATCTTGAATGCATCCAAAAAACTGTTTTTCATGTTTTTGCCAATACATGATACTGAATACAATGTAAAATCTCACAATTATTTAGCTTTCTGGAGCTCTCAGAATAGTAAAACATTTCAGTATTTTTTTTTTTTTCCCAAGAAATGCTTCAAATACCTTTGCTGTGATACCTTATGAACCACAAATCACAAAAAAATCTGTTGTGTTACCAATTCATGTACCCAGGTCTAAAGGTACAATCACAAGAGGCAAGAGAGAAAGAAAGAATAGTCCTGACTGATTTTCCCCTCCTAGCCATTGTCATTAACCTGCATTTAAAGAGAAATTGAGAAAATAATTTTTCTCCAATGTAGATTTCACACTTTTATCAGAGCATAAATGTTGATTTCATTCTCTCATTTTACAGAGATAGAAAAATCAACAGCATTATTCACTGCCAGTGAACATTAACCTAACATGAAGAGAAGATGAAGTGAAAAGGGAGCATCCTCCTGAAGAGCACTTTCTGTGTTAGACCCTTGGCAAAGAAGTTTAACAAAGAACAGACATAGGAAATATTAAGATTTGAAGAACAGAGAGAACCACAAATGGATGGTGAATTAAAACCGATAATTAACAAATCCTATGTAACTCATCTGGAACCACCAACCTGACACCTTTTCCCTGTTTTAGCCTATGTAACCACAACTGATCAATCCAATTCCTTTCTTCCTCCACCTTTTGCTACTTATTATGCTGTCTCATGAATAAGATATAAGATTGTCACATTGTTTCCTCTGAGTGCTTACAATGGAATGGTGTTTGTGAGTAGAGACATACCACTACTGAAAAAAGAGTGATGGTACACTTAGTGTCAGCAGTGTGTACTGGTCTTCACAGGAATTAAAGATGAGAACTCCCTGGCCCATAAATATTAAAATTAAAGTTTGTTTCTAACAACCTTTCTCTTTGGGTCTGAGGAAGTCCATGAACCAGAATAATTTGGATCAGGCTGCCATTGCCAAACTTTAATAGTTTGCTCTTGGCTTTCATCTTCCCTAGTTGTGGGAAGAAATGGGCTGCAGGATGAACAAAGAACTCTGGTCCAGATTTTGCCTGTTGTGTGATATGAGATGTGGCTGCAAGCCTATGGGGAAAGGATCATCAGGAGCAGGTGAAAGGATGCATGACAAATGATCTGGTTATCTGCATAGGTCAAGGTGTCACAGTTTGAACATACCTGTACTTCAACTGGAAGTACAGAATATTCGCTAGGAAATCCATAATGGGAAGAATGTCTAAAACTATTCATTTCACCTGTTTTATTACGCAGTGCAATGTATAAATTTGAGTTTTGTTATTTAATTACTAAGTAAGAACTGTATGTCTAGAGGAGATGTTTATTTTTGATATAATTGTCTCATTTGCAACGAATCAAACTTGTTCCATAATTTCCATACATTCTGTATATTCTGGCTGTCATCAAGTCATTTTTGTCAGTAAGTAAAGAGATCTTCAGCTGCATGGTCAGATACTCTCAAACACTGACAAAACCCTATGGACAAAGAGTTTGTGAACAAAGTGCTGGATATGTTGTTAAAGCCATATCATCTGACTTCCTGAATAGCACAGGCCAAACAATTCACATGTGAACTAAAAATCAAGTCCACATCCAATAGCTGAGCAAGAGTATATTTGAGGATGTATCACAAAATAGTGGTTTTGTCCAAAGGCAATATTCTTCCCATATGAAAGAAACATTATTAATTGAGACTAAAATATGCTTTTCCTACATTGCTATATTAAAAAAATAATAAACCATACATACTTAGTAAATATCAACATGCATTCTGAGGTCCAAAACATTTTTTTTAATCTCTCCAGTATAAAGAAAAGACATAAAACTGATTCCACTCTATCAATTAACTGCTGCTAACACCTGATTCTTATGAATTATTTCTTAAGTAAAAGAATGTTGAAGCTGCATGGAAGTCAGGTATCCAATAATGCAGAGGAAAATAAGTAATGCCGTATTGTGAAAGATTAAATATCTTCCAACATATTCCAAATGGAAATTACTTCAAGTAGTCTATTACTTCAGACTTTAGGCTAACAAGTAGATCTCAAAAGGCCTCTTCCTAAAAGAAAGAAGACTTCCTTTATAACAAAAGCTTCAAAAAGAACTTC